TAGGGAAAGTGAAGCAAGACATAAGGGAAATAGGTACATTTTGTCACATGGTTCATATTGCCATCACCTTTATTAGTTATTTCTTGTCTGGCATCTTGCTGAAAAGAGTGAACAACATCAATCCTACAGGGATCTATCCTTAATGCTTACACCGCTCCAAAGGCAAAATATGTGGAACACTATAAATGAGGAAGAGGAAGAAGTAGCTGAAGATGCCAGAAGCATGTCTGCATGACTGTCAGCCTGGCTAAATATCCTTTTCCTGGAAACAGGAATGATGGTTTTGTTTTGTTTTGTTGATGACACAAAATGAAGTGAAAGGCCTGGTAAATGTAGCATTACTGACTGCCAAATACATCATAACTGGGGAACTGCACCAGCTTGAATTTAACCGTGAAGGCATACACCGATACCTAGTATCCTGTGCTTATCCCATGTTCCCATGTTCATTGTTATCTGTAAAACCATAGCTTGCTAAACACTTGGCTCTAAAACGTTCATGAGTATTTCACTGGTGAACTGGTTGACCAAATTGTAAGCGTGAAACTTCATTTTACCTCAGTGTGGTATGTGTGTACATGTGTGTGCCTACTTCTCCAAACACAGAATTATTCAAAGCACAGACAGCCTAATTCCATACAGTTTGGTGGCTTACAGTGTAGGTGCTCCAAATAATAACAGTATTGTGAAGCTAAAGTCAACAAAACTATTCTATTTTTTTGCGACATTCATAAAAAGAAGTAAAAAAGAGGAAGGTAAAGCACTGCTTAAGTAATGGATTCTCCCCAGATAGTAGTTTCACAGAAATTGTTATGATGCATCAAAATTAATCTGTTCTAGAATCCTTTATGTGATTAGCAATGGTAACATCACAGTTGTTCTATTGCCTTCATATCTAAAAGCAACTCTGCAACAACACTACAGACCTGACTCTGCTATAGAATAATTTCATTTAATCTAGAGTATATAAGTATAAAGAGGGAAGCAGTAATAGGCACAGATAAAATTGTCATTCCTGTGGAAGGATTAGGGGGTTTATTGCTATACTGTAGTGGTACAAAAGGTCTCATTGTGAACTACTGGATTTCACATGGCTTTATTAGGACATTTAAAATGTTATATATATATTATTTCTGATAATGATTTGTTAGGTAGAAGATTGAGTTCATTATCTTTCTATAATACTGTAGAATGAAGCTGAATTCAAAATATGATAAAGTTGTTAAATAAAAGACAGGAAAATAAAAGAAGTGGAGCAAGATGGGTTTTTTGATCATTAAAAAAAAAAGTTCAGGTATAATGGAGCATTGTTCGGTGTCAGACTAATGACTCTCTGTGAAAGAGAGGAGAAAAAGAGAAAAATTCATCAGATATGAACAGAAATAATTAACTGCTTTTCTTTCTGTCCTGTCTTGGTCACGGAAGCTGACATTCCAATTAGCAGCTATAGTATACAAACGAACTCTCCAGGTTTTGAAAGGAGGTTTTGTTAAAGCGCTATGAATTTGAGGAAAGATGCCGTGATGATATTTCTGTAGAAACCAAGGAAGAATAGATGTTGCCCATACAAACTGATTCCATTCATCTAGCCGGATATCTTATTAAAATAGTTTGCAGTCACAAATGATCACGATAACGGAAATGGAAGGTAGGTAGGTCCTGAAAAGGGCAATGAAGGAGAGAAACTAGATATTTGGAAGGTGTTCTACAGCTATCAAATGACAGGGGGTTATTTACGGTAAAATTGGAGGTTTCTGAGTGTATGTATTAATTTTCTAATATGTTTAAGAGGAAGTTGCACCTACCACCTTCTCCTAGCCAGCAAGGCAGACAAGCACATATGTAACTATATGCACATGAGTGACACCATGGATGACAAGATTAATTCTGGTTTAAAGTTAAATGTGTATGTAAATACCTCTTGAATTTCTTATTGGATCAGCAATTGTAAAAATGTCATTTCAAATGAATATTTCTTCTAATTTATAGATTTATAATGAGCCCAGTTTCAGATTTTAAAGATGAAGCATATGTCTATTCATATATTTGATGCATAATTTAAAATTTTATAGTTGTGTGTTTGCATGCGTAAATGAATAATAATAGTTTCTACAAGGCAGAGGAGGATGTTATTTCACTATTTTATTCAGCACTGTATTCAGATCATGGACTCTTTTTTTCACTTTGTCCATAAACAATAGCAAGAAAACATTATACAGATATGATTTTGTGCACACTCTTGAGTATTTGCAAATAACTTGCACACCTGCTTCCTCAAGGCTGGACAGGAGTGCAGAGAGTCCCGTAAAGAATGAAAGAACGCTTGCCCTCGGTGAATGTTGTTTTGTAGTTGTACATATATTTGTTTACTGCAGGACGCTTTTAGGGTATAACAGATTACTAGTTTATTTTTTTCCTGAAAATAGCACTTTGGAGCATGGTCAAAACCCAATATCCCTTTGTGCTAATCTGTACTTGCCTGAGAACTCGCAGCCTATGATTTTGATAGCAAGCATGAACCAAATGAAGCAAGTAAGCATTATGGAAGTTAATTGGAAGGACCACTTAGGAACAAAGCAGAGAAAATTAAGTAGACAAGCAGAAGCCAAAATGTTTGGTCTTAAAGATGCAGCTTTGCATACTGTTTACCATACAGGACATCCAACATACTTGCAGTTCTCTCTGTTCGATATTTGTTTTTTAAGGCTGGAGGAGAACTATGAGATTGCAGAAGGTGTTTGCATTCCTCGAAGCGCGCTCTACATGCATTACTTGGACTTCTGTGAGAAAAATGACACGCAACCTGTTAATGCCGCCAGCTTTGGGAAGGTGAGTCTAAACAGCAGTATGATGCCTTGAGCTCTCACCTGCTTCAGGTGAGTTTGGATTATTGAAAAGAATTACATCATCATTTACCATTAGGGATATGTGAATAGAATCTCTTATGTATTCAGGATATTGGACAAACACTAAGATATTAAGTATTTAGAAGGTTGGAATAATTTCTAATCATGACTTGGCTGCAGAATGCACTGAATTTTTTTTTATAACTTCAGGCCTCAGACTGGCTGACAGTGACATGGTATGCAATATTGTCAGCCTGGAAGTTGAATACAAGCCAGTGTAAACACATCTGCATTGTGACTTGCACTGCTTTAACAAATGTATTTTTATAAGATAGGAGGGTAAATTATCAGTCATTTAATTCTGGGGCCTGTCTGTGCTATTCTTGTAAGTATCATATGGAGATCCCTGAATTAATGGTACCAGCCCACACTGGCAAATCCACGAAGTGGAGTACAATGCTTCCAGATACGAAAGCCCAGAAAACATCTAACGGCACTTGTGTAGTGGCACTGCAGATACAGGCTGCCAGGTTATCTTTGCACTGTGATTCCTTGTGCTTCTGCTTTCCAGTCCAGCTCTAGTAAGAGCCGCTGCAGTTATCTCCAGACTCACAGTGAAGACGCACTCTTAGCGCAGATGCAGCTGCATGTTGTCCAGATGTGAGCAGAAAGCTCTTATGCTATGCATCACTAGCAGACATTAATGGCTGGCTAGGATGTTACATGAAGTTTTTATTTTGGATTTGCTTGCTGAGTGGGGTTTTCCTCTCAGTGAAAAACAGGATGATACTTTTATATGTTTAATTTTTTATTTAAAACTGAAATTTTACTAAAGAATGTGTCACAGGCCTTTAAAACTTGTAGGCTTTGAAAAAAACCAAAGTGTAGAGTTTGCCACTGTTTTTGAAATGCTTGCAAGCATGAATCTGAAGCTGATTGTCCTGCGTGCTATTCTCTTCTGGTGTTTGCAACATTTGTTCTATAGAAGTGCTGGGTATTCAAAGAAGGAAAAATGTTCCTAGGGTAAGTGCCTGTGTAAAGAGTAGGTGAAGGAGAAGAATGTATTTAATGAGGTGTCATTTTCTATAGTGCATCTTTATCTAGGAAGTTTAGCAAGGCAAGTAAAATGTACCATGTTGTAACACTACTATGTTTGTTGTGTCTTAAAGACCTGCATAGCTCAGCTGATTCTGTGTTAGGTTTCTGCTTAAATACATTGCATAAGTGTGAACAAAATTGTTTGTTGTACATATTATCGCTACCAAGTGGTGAGTATAGTGGCAACATGTAATTTAGGAATAGTGAGAACAAGAAACAGATTTCATACAGGCTAACACATTTGGAATGTGGGCAAAATTTACATGATGCTACTTTTACTGCTGCTAAAAACTTCTGTAAATTGCAAAGTGTAAATATTCTGAAAGTATTTCATCAGAGCATAAATTCAGCAGGGACTCCACCAATTTTCAGTATGCAGCAATCTTGTTACACTGTATATTACTCCATCCTTTTTCTCCCCTGCCCCTTGTACACATACATATGTTCATCAGTAGGAGTACCTTGACCTAGCAGGACAGGTACAGTGTCTTCCATCCAAAAATCATGACATTCCAATGTGTTTTTCACATGCTGTGTTCCAAGTGATTTCCTCTTGGTTGCAATAGCATGAAATTTGTTTTCCTTTTTTGTGGAGAGGAAGCCATGCAGAAACATCCTAGTACTGTCTCAACTAGTGTTTTGTGTGGCCATTAATTTTGGATCTGGGAGCTGAGGCTTCTGCATAGGTGTGTCCAGGAACCTTAGACAACACTGGCACAAATACTGAAAGCAAGCTGCATCTGCAGAACCTGGAGCAGACCCCAGTGATTCTTTCTAACCTATTATTGATAAGAAAATGTACTGCACGGTCATGAAGATCTGCAAGGCAGACACCCACTTCATTCCATCAATAGTTTGCAGTCAGCTTCCCCTTAGGAACAGGTACATGGATGAAGTTTTAGCCAACAGAGTTGTTATCATGTGACTTAAATACTGTATTGGCAACGTGTGTTGCATAAATTCCTTGGAGGCAGCACAGTGAAGTAGGTCCTATTTGAGGGCTTCTGCACTTAGCTGTTGAAACAGAGACCCCAGACATGCTTGTCCTCATTGGGAATCGTCAAGAGCCCTGCAGCTGTCATCTCCTCCAGAGAAAGGAGTTAGTTGTTCTGTGAAATTGTAGACAGTTCGTCTTTCAATAGACCACATTGAATTTATGATTCATCTTTGAACTTTAGCTCTTTGGGCAATGCTAAACATTTAGGCTTTTTCTTTAACAGACTGGTAGTTTTTAGAAAGAGACATGGAGTTCAGGACATTAAAACAATCTGTAATAAGTAACATCCTATTGTATTATTACATACTCAGTTACATCTCAATTAACAAAACAGTGTTGATTTAACTTTTAAAGATACCACTGGAGACCCCTGAAACTTGCCTGAAAGTGATCTCTCCAGATTAAGGTTTTGTAGACAATGCTTCAGCCCATGTGTACTTCTTAAGCCTGATGTAGTTCAAATATATCCACAATGGAGGGGAGAACAGACAAGTTGTTCATGAACAGCTGAACTAATGGACCTTGTTTCCTACCATCTCCTATGTTCCCTATATCCATACATAGCCTTACCTAAATCTTATATAGTATCTCCATGTTTCCTTGCAGTACTTTCAATTATTTCCAGGCCCAGTCACTACATGAAGGTTTTGCTTCTTTCAGTTTTCTCACACATCTGCTGCACCTTCTTTCTATGTTATTTTTAGATTCTCTAAGGTCTATCTGTCTGTTTGCCTGTCTTTTTTTTCTCTCCTCCCCACATGCCAACAACTGGGCAAGAAGCAGCACATGGGGTGGCTGGTTCAGGGCAGTAGAGGTGTTGACTGGTTGCCTCATACTCATCGTGGTCCCATCAGGCAGTGACAAATGGCTCAGCTAAAGGCTGAGCTTCCCTCCCTGTCTTGTCCTCAGCATTAACAACAATATACTCTCCCCGCTATCCAGCTGGTGTTTTCTATTAAACTTATAGGACATGGACTGGACCTCAGGCATTTGGTAATATTGGATTTGCGAAACAAAAATTGGTCTGGGGTGTGAAGAGATTCACAGAGAAACAGTAATATCTCATAGACTGTTTCCTGAGGAAGCCAGGCTAATAGAAACAAAAGTAACGAGGAGAGAACAGAATTACTGTATAAATAAGCACCTTTTAAAAAGCAACCTATACTCCTAAACCACTTAAAGTGCATATAAAATAAGGAAGACTTTAATATGGTTGTTAGTGTGATATATTCTTATATGACAAAGGGGGCTGTAGCTTTAATATGTTAGCCAAGATTTTAGTGCTTTACTCACCCAATTAATATGTGAAAATTATAGGCAGTTCTGTCTATACTAGCATTTGCCAATCTGCTAATAGCTACGCTAGCTAGTCTGTCATTACAGAGCTTTTTCTTGCCTGCAAAAGACAGGACTGAGCACTCTTTTACCCATATGCTTTAACTAAACAGTGTCTAGGGAGGGCCCTGTATTTGCTGGTTACAGCTCGGCATCGGCAAGTGGAGACTCCAGTGTTAAACTTCGGCTCTTACCGTAAGCAGCAAAACAACGGGATCATGATTTCACCCCAAAGTGAAGCAGAATAATTAAAACTGTTCCATGCAACCAGTGAGAAGACAGGGAAGTACAGTGAGGAAGGCCAGGCATGTCACTGAGTTATTAACAATAAAATGTTGTGTATGAGAAGAAGCTTTCTCACAGTGAACACATTTAGACTGTGAATTAGTCTTCATGCAGAAGGAGTGAAAGCCCTGTTGCTGAGGTCACTTAAAAAAGATGGCAACCTTGTGCCCCTCAGCCCTGTGCTACAAATGCCTCCGGCTCTGCTCCGGGCCCCTGTGGACTTAGAGAGCAGTTTAAGGTGTTTCCAACTGGAAGCTCTGCCACTGCCTGCAGCAGGGAGGGCTGAGCAAGTGTAGCGGTTTTTTTTCTAAGTGAAATGTTAACATAAAATGCCAGTGATAATTAATACACTGAGCTAGGAATTATGGTGGTTGAAGGCTCTGACTCACTGTTCTCACAGAGTTTAGTCGCAAACACTAAATCATTCTGAACTGCGGCCTTCATTGAATTTTCCAAGCCCCTCAGTAGCTATCGTGTATGGATGGGTTCCATAAGGCTTGTTGGTTCTTCCCTAGCTGTAGCATGTGACCCAGCTGTTCAGCTGGGTTGGCAGGTCTTTGAGCTTTTCTTTCACTTTTATTTCCTCAGCCAACACTCATTTTTGTTCTTTGTTTCTTTTGAGACCCTGCGTGAACCTTATTTTCTTAATCAAGCCTCTTAAAGATGTTATCTTCCTCCTCCTCCTCACCCATTTCCCCTATCTTCCATGTCCTCAGTTCACTGCTTTAAATCGACTGTGCAGTGCTAGGTAACTTCCCGGACCCTGCCTTATCTCTTATACAGAACGCTTAGTTTCTTGCCCTGCAACCTCTTTTGCATCCTCATGAAGTGTTCTTCCCACAACTCCCCTATGCCCCCTGGAGGTTAAATACTTTCCTCTTTTGTTTTTCTCTTTTTTTTTTTTTTTTTTTTTTTTTTCCTTTTCGTGCTTCCCTGCCACGTCTTTTCAGAAGCAATAGTAAATTAATATTTGAAAAGGAAAACGAAGGATGCTGACACTGCAGGGTGACTCTCCCCCAGCCTGAGGTCCCTTTACATCACTCTGGCAGCATAAAGAGGTTTAACATGGATGCATGCTCACGTGAATTTTAGAGCCTCTTTATTGCTGAGTGGCTTTGCTGTAAGTGAAAATTAGATTCCAATAAATTTATTTCACTAAATAAGAAGGGTAAAGTCCACAATAGATTTGTAATATCACTTAGGAAAGAGATCTTTTACCTTTTTGACCAATATTTCTTCCCCATTTCCAAAAAATGGGCTGAGGCACA